AGAAAGATAACTGCTACTAATCAAAACTATTATAACCTACTAACTCTTGACCTTCCAAATTACATTTGGTTCTTAACCTTCCTACTACCTTATTTAATAAGAAAATCCACTACTAATGACATTAAAGTTTACTCAACAAATACATGGACGATGCGTTTTAAACTTTATTGTTGTTTCCTAATGTTAGTTGGTTAATTCTTGTTATTTAGTTATTTGGGCTTTTAGCATGTGTATTTGGGCCTGAGCATTTTGCCTATATAAATGGGCATTATGTTTGTAATCATAGTGCAGAAAATATAATACATTCAGTTAGAAAGTTAGTTACACTTAAGTAACTCTCTCTCTCTCTCTCTCTCACTCTCTCTCTTCTTCTTCTTCTTGTTTTCTCAAAATCATCTTTCTTGAATCCTTTGTTCCAACAAATTAGTATCGGAGCTTGTTTGCGATTCAGAGAGAATCTAATGGCAAACAAATCAACAACATCAACACAGTTTCCACCGAATCTCCTGCTTTTCAAAGGTGAAAACTATCAACGGTGAGTTGTGCAAATGAAGGTTGTATTCAGATTTCAAGATGTCGTAGAAATCTTGAATGATGGAATATCAGAACTGGAAGTAGATGCTACAGAAGCCCAAAAAGTTGTGCACAAAGATCAGAGGAAGAAAGATGGCAAGGCGTTGTTCTTGCTTCACCAGTGTGTGAATTGTGACGTATTCGAGAATATAATTGAAGAAGAAACATCAAAAGGAGCTTGGGAAAAGCTGAAATCCTTGTATGGTGGAGATGAGAAACTGAAGAAGGTGAAGTTGCAGATATTGAGGAAGAAGTATGAGATGCTTCAGATGAAAGAGGATGAATCTATTTCTGCATATTTCTCAAGAGCTATGGCGCTAACAAACCAGGTGAAGGCATGTGGTGAAGCATACACGGATCTGCAAAAGATAGAAAAGGTATTGAGATCTTTAATCGCAGATTTTGATTACATTGTTGTGAAAATTGAAGAGGCCAATAATCTATCTGAGATGAAGTTGGAAGAACTTCAAGCTTCATTGGAAGCTCACGAAATGAGGCTGCAACAGAGAAACTCCGAAAGAGAGAAGACAGCTAAACAAGAATTGCAATCAAGATTCAGCAAGAAAGCCGGAAAAGAGAAGTCGAAGCAGCGAAAGAATCTTGCTGGTGATGAGAAGTCAAGCAAGAATACAGATTCTAAAGGTATGGGAAACAAGTATTCTGGGAAGAAAGTTGACACAAAAGAGGTGCAATGTTACAATTATCAAGGTTTTTGCCACTATGCTAGAGACTTTCGAAGAAAGAAAGCTGCAAGGTAGAAAGATAGTGATGAAGCTCAATATGCACGAGCTGGAGATAGTGATTCTGATGATGTGTTGTTAGTGGTGAACACTCAGTCGACTACTGAGAAAAACAACATGTGGTATCTGGATTCAGGATGTAGCAACCACATGACTGGCAATAAAAACTAGTTTACCAAGTTAGATGAATCAGTCGAAAAGGTGATAAAGTTTGCAGATGGCAGGCATATCAAGTCAGATGGTAAAAGAGATATTTCGATTATCAGAAAGGATGGTCGAAAGGCTACTATCACTGAAGTTCTATATGAACCTTTGATGATAAGTAACTTGATAAGTGTAGGTCAATTACTTGCAAAAGGCTTCAACATGAAGTTGGAGAATAATCAGATAAAGGTATATAAGGCTGATGGGAGGCTAATAATGAAAACACCATTGGCGGAGAACAAAACGTTCAAGGTTGAACTGAACATATCATATCACAAATGTCTTGCTTTAACTACAAAAGAAGATAAGAACTGGCTATGGCATAACAGATATGGACATTTAAACTTCAAGAGTTTATGTATGCTCAATAAGAAAAGAATGGTGCTTGGGTTGCCGTATGTGAAGGAACCAAAGCAGATATGTGAGGAATGCTGCAAAGATAAACAGGCAAGAAAGGCGTTCAAACGTGACTTGCCTATAAGATCAAGGAAAAAACTGGAGTTGGTTCATTCAGATGTGTGTGGATCCTTTAAAGTTAAGTCAAATGGGGGGTAACAAGTATTTCCTTACTTTCATTGATGAATTCACCAGACATATGTAGATTTAACTTATTGAAAATAAAAGTGAGGTATTTATACAGTTCAAAAAGTTCAAGTTGCATGCTGAGAAACAAAGTGCCTGCAACTTGAAGAAGTTAAGAACTGATGGTGGTGGTGAATATACTTCTGCTGAATTTTCTCGATTTTGAAATGAGGAAGATATAAGCATGAGGTTATTGCACCCTATACGCCTCAGTATAATGGCATAGCTGAGAGAAAGAATAGAAGTGTATTGAACATGACGAGATGTATGTTGAAAGCTAAGAATATGCCTAAGAGATTTTAGGCTAAAGCAGCTTCAAAAGCAGTATACGTTCTAAATAGATGTCCAACAAAGAAGATGGTCAAAAAGACACTGCACGAGGCTTGGACAGGGTCAAAGCCAACTTTAAGTCATCTTAGAGTTTTTGGATCAATGTGTTTCAGGCATGTACCTGAAAAATTGAGAAAGAAGCTGGATGATCATAGTGAAGTCATAGTGCTCATAGGTTATCATTCGACTGGTGCATACAAGTTGTATTCACTAATTGAAGATAAACTAGTGATCAATAGAGGTGTTCTTGTAGACGAAAGAAAAGGATTGGATTAAAGTCGAAGTTCAGTTCGACAAGAATCAGACACAGTCACAACTGTGTTCGAAGAATATGAACATAACAAAGCTTCGACAAGTCAAAATGAAAAACTACCTGTGCAGAATGAAAGAAGATCCACAAGAACAAGAACTGAGTCGACTAGGATGATTGGATATGAGAGGTTTCTAGATCAAGAAATCGATGCATATGGTGACTTAATTGAAGAAGCCATAATGATGGCTGGAGCATAACCAATTGATTTTGGTGAAGCCTTGAGCAATTCGAATTTGTGTGAAGCCATGAAAGAAGAACTTAGAGCCATTGAGAAGAACAAGACTTGGGAGATTGTCGAAAGAACCAACAAGAAACCAATCGATGTGAAATGGATATACAGGGTGAAACAAAGGCAAAATGGTGAGATTGCAAAGTATAAGGCAAGACTGGTGGACAAAGGTTTTCTATAAAAACCTGGTATTAACTTCGATGAAGTATATGCGCCTGTTGCGAGGATTGAAAAAATCATGATTGTTGATTCAATATCTACATGTAGAGGATGAAAAATGCACTAACTTGATGTAAAGTCAGCGTTTTTGAATGGTCCATTGGAAGAAGAAGTCTACGTTACTCAACCACCAGGTTTCGACGTCAAAGGGCAGGAGTCGAAAGTTTACAGATTAAGGAAGGCTCTCTATGGCTTGAAGCAAGCTCCTAGAGCTTGGAATAAAAGGATAGATAGCTTCCTAATCGAAGCAGGTTTTACAAAGTGTGTCTCTGAACATGGAGTATATGTAAATGATGTCAAAAGTGTCAATCAAATCATTTTATGTCTCTATGTTGATGACTTACTCTTTACAAGAGTAGATGGAGCTGGGATAATGAAGGTAAAGTCGAAGTTAATGCAGGAATTCGAAATGTATGACTTAGGGAATCTCTCTTATTTCCTGGGAATGGAATTCAAAGACATCGAAGAAGGAGTTTTCTTGCATCAAATGAAGTATGCTCAAGATATACTGAAGAAGTTCAATATGAGCAGCTGTAAGGTAGCTGTTACTCTATTAGAGACTGGAGCAAAGCTGAAAAAGGAATCAAATGATGAATTTGTAAGTTCGACCCTTTACAAAAAAATTATTAGATCCTTGAGGTATCTTTGCAATACTAGACCAGATATCTGCCAAAGTGTAGGATTGTTGAGCAGATTTATGGAGAAGCCTCAAGAATGTAATCTCATCGCAGTGAAGAGGGTGTTGAGATACATAAAGGGAATTATTGATCATGGTGTGCTGTTACCAAAGAAATCGAAGAACTGCTCAGATGTTGAAGTTCATGGATACACTGACTCAGATTTCAGTGGAGATCAAGACGAAAAGAAGAGTACTGCAGGATACATATTCATGATTGAAGGAGCTCCAATCTCCTGAAGTTCGAGGAAGAAAAGAATTATGGCTTTGTCATCATGCGAAGCAGAATATGTGGTTGCATCATATGCTGCATGCCAAGCAGCATGGATCGAAATGCTACTTGAAGAACTCAGAATAATGGAATCGAAGATGAAGTTGTTTGTTGATAACAAGTTAGATATAAACCTTGTGAATCATCCAGTGTGCCATGGTCGAAGTAAGCACATTGAAAGAAGGTATCATTTTCCGAGGGATCAAGTCAACAAAGGGAAGCTCGAAATAAAACATTGCAAGAAAAAAGTGCAACTAGCTGACATATTCACCAAACCTCTGAAGAAAGTGAGGTTCGAAGAGTTAAAGAAAGGCATTGGGATGAGAAGTCTTGATAACATGAATTAGGGGGTGTGTTAGTTGGTTAATTCTTGTTATGCAGTTATTTGGGCTTTTAGCATGTGTATTTGGGCCTGGGCACTTTGCCTATATAAAGGGCCATTATGTTTGTAATCATAGTGCAGAAAATATAATACATTCAATTAGAAAGTTAGTTACACTTAACTAACTCTCTCTCTCTCTCTCTCTCTCTCTCTCTCTCTCTCTCTCTCTCTCTCTCTCTCTCTCTCTCTCTCTCTCTCTCTCTCTCTTCTTCTTCTTCTTCTTGTTTTCTCAAAATCATCTTTCTTGAATCCTTTGTTCCAACACCTAATAATTAATCATAACTTTATTAATTATTGAGGTGCAATTTCCTTTTACTTTCCTAACTATTTCTTGATTTCACACTATGTACCTGTTATATAAATTACAACCGCGTGAGTCACTCTCATAGGATATATTATATGTTCTTCCTTAATCTTTTGATAACAATAATTGTAACAATCACCCAAAACCAGAAGTTTCCCTTTACACACTATACTATACATGGCAGATAACGTGGTTGCATTCCTTTTGGAACACTTATCCCAATTACTGCAACATGAAGCTAATTTTCTGTCCGGAGTGGAAGACAAAATCATATCCCTCCACAACGAACTCGAAATCATTAGCGTGTACCTCAAAACATCTTCTGAAGGGAACAACAACAAAGAAATAGAATAAAAGGTTATGATTCAGATCAGAGATGTTTCCTACTTAGTCGAGGATGTTATCGACACATTCATCACCAAGGTCGCCTTCTACAAGAAGAGAAATCTGCTGGGAAGAATGTTTCACAGCGTTAAGCATGCTAAGTTGCTACACGAGGTAGCAGAGAAAATTGACAAGAAAAAAACAACGCTCAACAAGATACACGAAAAAAAGATCAAATATTGTCAAGAAAGCAGTGATCAATCAACATCAGCAAGAGAAGTGGAGGAGAAAAGGAAATCACTTCACAGATTTAGAAGAAACGTGGAGGAGGAAGATGTTGTGGGCTTTGTCCATGAATTTGAGGTTGTCATCAATAGACTCATAGAAGGTGGCTCACTGTGACTCAAAGTTTTTTCAATCATTGGTATGGGTGGATTGGGGAAAACCACCCTGGCACGAAAAGTCTACAACAGTGACAAGGTGAAGAATCACTTCAATTTCCGCGCATGGGCTTATGCGTCAAGAGAATGTAGAGCCAGAGAGCTTTTGCTTCATCTTCTTCAAAAATTGATGCCAAAAAATGATTATGAATGTAGAAGCAGTACCACCAAAAAGGGTCAGAAGAAACACAAGGAAGCTGTGAATAATTCTCAAGACATCTCTAACTTAAGTGATGAGGAGCTGAAGAAAAGAGTGTGGGAATGCTTGAAGTGCAAAAAGTATCTACTGGTTCTTGATGACTTGTGGAAAATACAAGATTGGGATAAAGTAAAATATGTTTTTCCGGATGAAAATGAAGGAAGAAGAATATTGATAACCAGTCGTTTGAAAGAAGTTGCCTCGCATACTGTTAGAATTAATTTAGATTTTACAATTAATTAGATATTAATTTATATTTAGAAATATCTTTTAGATTGTTTATATCTTTGTTAGAAGATATATATCTTAGATCTTCTTATATCTTTGTTAAAATATATATTTTAGATTTAATGTTATATATAAATAGCCTAGTGAAGTAGGTTATTCTAATTCATTGTAAATTCTTATTTTGAAGCTGTCAGTAAATATTCCTTTTGCCTTTTATCTTCCTTGTGCACCAATAATTGGTATCAGAGCTCCTGGTTAGAAACTCTGGGATTTGGGAAACATTGTTTTTCATTGAGTTTCTGCGTAAATTGCACAAGGTAGAAAATGAACGGAAACAACGACGATATCCATTCCAAGCTTCCAGTATTTGATAGAAAAAACTGGAATTGTTGGAAGATCCAGATGTGCGTGTTATTTTGTTCTCAAGACGTGTTAGATCTTTTCACCGATGGCTATAATCTGTTAGAAGAAGATGCAACAGAAGCACAGGAGGTAGCACAAAAGGCGTTGGGGATGAAAGACCAGAAGACGTTGTCCTACATCCATCAATGTGTGGATGCAAATGTGTTTGAGAAGATTGTTGATTCTGAAATAACAAAGGTTGTGTGGGACACACTGGTTAGATGTTACAGTAGTGACACATCAGTGAAGAAGGTGAAGCTTCAGTCTCTCAGAAAGCAATATGAGAATCTCAACATGAAGGACAACGAGAAGGTTTCTGAATACATCTCTAGAGTGATTTTGATGACTAATGAGATGAAAGCTTGTGGAGAAACTCTGTCTGAACAAGTAATTATTGATAAGATCTTGAGATCTTTAACTTCTCAGTTTGATTTCATTGTGGTAGCAATTGAATATTCCAAAGATCTGAGCACCATGAGAGTTGAAGAGCTGCAAAGTAGTCTAGAGGCGCATGAGTTACGTATGGCTGCAAGAACTTCTGAGAGGGAAGTAGAACAACAGGCTTTGAAGATAACTTCTGGTAAGAAGCATCATAAGCAGACTTAGTCAGAAGCCAAGAAGAAAACTAATGGTGGTAAAACTTCAGAAGCTTCAAACTCTAATAGGAAGAAGAATGTCCAGAAGGGAAAGGAGAAGTTTGACAAGAAGAATGTTCAGTGTTACTATTGCAAGAACTTTGGTCACTATGCCAGAGATTGCTTGTCCAACAAAGAAAAGAAGTTAGAAGAAGCAAATATAGCAAGAGGAGAGTCTGATGATGAACCTGTGCTATTGTTGTCTTCTGAACCTGATGATCTGAATTCATCAAAATGGTGGTATATGGACATAGGGTGTTCAAACCATCTTACTGGAAACAAGAAGTGGTTGGTTGATTTTGACTCTGGGAAGAGTATAAATATCAGATGCGCTGATGATAAATACCTCAATGCAGAAGGTGTGGGAAATTTTAGAATCATTCTAAACAATGGGAAAGCAGCAATGATCCAGAATGTATGGTATGTACCTAGCATGAAAAGCAATCTGATGAGTGTGGGATAACTGGTTGAGAAAGGTTTTTCAATTACCATGAAGCACAATCTTCTGAAGCTGTATGACTGTAATCAGAAGTTGATTATGGAGTCAAAACAAGGAAGGAACAAAACATTCAAGATGAATGTTAGAACTGCAGACTCTGAATGTCTTAGTGCAACAAGTGTTGTCAATGAGAGTGAGCTGTGGCACATAAGATTTGGTCATCTGAATTTCAGAAGTTTAGGGCATCTGAAGTCAAAGAATTTGGTACATAGAATTCCTACAATCAAGAAGCCTGAAAAGTCATGCAAGGTGTGCATGGAAGGGAAGCAACCAAGATTACCATTTGCATCAGAAGTAGATCCAAGAGAAAAGCAAGCCTTAGGAGTAGTACATTATGATGTGTGCGGTCCATTTCCAGTAGCATCGACTGGAGGGAATAAATATTTTGTATCATTTGTTGATGAGTTCACTAGAATGACATAGGTATCTCTCATAAAGTTCAAACACGAGGTGTTTTCTGAATTCAAGAAGTTCAGACTGAAGGCTGAGAATCAGAGTGGGCAGACTCTGAAGATTCCTATAACTTATGGTGGTGGTGAGCATAACTCCATAGAATTCAGAAGTTTCTGTGAGGAGAATGGAATTGAGCATGAGGTTACTGCTCCCTATACTCATCAACACAATGGTCTTGCTGAAAGAAGAAACCGTACTTTGCTTGATATGGTGAGAAGCATGCTGAAAGAGAAGAAGCTTCCTCATACTTTGTAGGGAGAAGCTGTTGCAACTACATGTTATGTGCTCAATAGATGTCCAACCAAGAAATTGAGGAAAATAGTTCTTATTCAGAAGTGGACTGGAGATAAGAAAAGTGTTAGTCATCTGAAGGTGTTTGGTTCTGTATGTTATAAACATGTCCCAGAAGCCAAAAGACATAAGTTGGATGATAGAAGTAAAGTGATGTTGCTGGTGGGCTACCACAATACAGTTTTGTACAAACTTTATTGTCCAGAAACAAACAAAATTGAGTTCAAAAAAGATGTCATTGTAGAGGAATCAGAAGTTTGGAATTGGGAAAAGTCTCGTCCTGACTCTGATGAGAGCACTTCTGAAGAAAAGTTAGAAATACATGTTTCTGAAGCTAGTAAAGACTCTGACTCTGAAGAAGATACATAAGGAGAAGATGATTCTGACTCTGACTTCGATGGTGATCCAGACTCTGAAGATAGTCAAGGTTCCAGAGAAAGTCCAAATTCTGCAGCAAGTGCTTCTGAAGGGGAAAGCTCTGGTGTCTAAAGTTTTGAAGGTCCAGTTCAGAGGCAACAAAGAGTCAGAAGCATCCCAAGAAGATTTGCAGAGTTTGACATGTTGCAAGACACTGAAGTAGACTATGAAGGAGAAGTTATTCAGTGTGCAATGTTAGTAGACTTTGAACCCGTGAGTACAAAAGAGGCTCTTCAACAACAAGTTTGGTTACAGGCCATGAAAGAATAACTTGATGCTATAGAGAGAAACAAGACTTAGAAGTTAACAGAACTTCCAAAAGGCAAGAAAGCCATCGGCGTTAGATGAGTTTTCAAGCAGAAGCTAAAGCCATATGGATTAATTGGTAAACACAAAGAAAGATTAGTAGCAAGAGGCTTTCTACAGAAGCCTGGGCTGGATTACTTTGAAGTGTTTGCACATGTAGCGAGACATGAAACAATCAGACTAGTGATTGCAATAGCTGCTAACAGGAATTGGCCTCTGATGCATTTAGATGTAAAATCTTCATTTCTGAATGGTCCATTACAAGAAGAGGTATATATATCACAACCTCCTGGATTCGAGAAAAATAATCAGGAAGGGATGGTGTTCAAATTACACAAATCCTTGTATGGATTGAAGCAAGCACCCAGAGCTTGGAATTTGAAGATTGGTTCATTTTTTAAGGAACAAAGGTTTCAGAAGTGTGAGATGGAGTATGGTGTTTATGTTCAGCATACCTCATAAGGTAATATGATTATGGTCTATTTGTATGTTGATGACATATTACTCACAGGAAGTTCTGAACAAGAGATAGCTAAGTTCAAGAAAGTTTTGATGAATGCATTTAAGATGACAAATCTTGGAAAAATGAATTTCTTTCTAGGGATGGAATTTATGTACTCTGAGAAAGGAATCATTTTGCATCAGATGAAGTATGAACTAGAGCTTCTGAAGAGATTTGAGCTAGAAAATTGCAAAGTTTCTATCACACCTGCTGATACAAATCAGAAGTTGGACTCCGATTCTGATGGAGAGGATGTGGATGCTACAACTTTCAAACAAATGGTTGGTTCTCTAAGGTATTTGTGTAAGACTAGACCTGATATTTGCTATGAAGTTGGAATGGTTAGCAGATTTATGAGAAAACCAAAGTGGTCTCATTACCAATTTGCAGTCAGAATTCTGAGGTATATGAAGGGAACTCTGAAATATGGAGTCTTATTTCCGTATGGAAGAAAGATCGAATAAGAACTTCTAGGTTATTCTGATTCTGATTGGTGCGGAGATAGAGTTGACAAAAGAAGTTCTTCTGGGTACTTATTCAAATTTCTGGGAGGTCCTATTTCTTGGTGTTCCAAGAAGCAACCCGTTGTTGCTCTGTTAACTTGTGAAACTGAATATATTGCAGGCGCTCTGACTGCATGTTAAGCTGTGTGGATTCTGAACTTCCTGAAAGATCTGAAGATTGAGGTAAATAAACCTATGAAGCTGATGATTAATAACAAGTCTACAATCAATCTTGCCAAGAGTCTAGTGTTGCATGGGAGAAGAAAGAATATTGAGACTAAGTATCATTTTCTGAGGAATCAAGTTTATAATCGAATATTAGAAGTTATGCACTGTAGCACCGAGAAGCAGCTGGCAGATGTTCTGACAAAGGCTATCAAAACTAATCAATTTCTTGGTTTAAGGGATGGAATTTGTGTTGTCAGTTTTGGTTAAATATAAATTAAGGGAAAGTGTTAGAATTAATTTAGATTTTATAATTAATTAGATATTAATTTATATTTAGGAATATCTTTTAAATTGTTTATATCTTTGTTAGAAGATATATATCTTAGATCTTCTTATATCTTTGTTAGAAGATATATTTTAGATTTAATTTTGTGTATAAATAGTCTAGTGAAGTAGGTTATTGTAATTTATTGTAAATCCTTATTTTGAAGCTGTCAGTAAATATTCCTTTTACCTTTTATCTTCCTTGTGCACCAATACATACCAGTCGAGATCCTCCTTACAATCTTCAGTTTCTTAGTGAAGAAAAAAGTTGGGAGCTATTTTCCAAAAAAAGTATTTAGAGGAGAAGAGTACCCTAGTGGTATTGAGTCTCTAGGTAAACAAATTGCTAAAAGTTGTGGCGGTTTGCCACTCTCAATTGTGATTCTTGCAGGACTTTTGGCAAATAAGAAAAATTTACACAGAGAATGGTCCAAAGTGTTTGGTCATGTTAACTGGTATCTTACCCGAGACGAGACTCAAGTAAAGAATGTAGTACTTAAACTCAGTTTCGATAACTTACCGGCAAGACTGAAACCTTGTTTTCTATATTTAGGGATATTCCCTGAAGATTATAAAATATGTGTAAGGAAATTGTTGCAACTATGGATGGCTGAAGTATTTATACAAGAAATAGGAAGTAGAGATGCATATGATGTTGCTGAAGACTATTTGTATGAGCTCATTGATCGCAATTTGATCCAAGTAGCACGAGTGAAAGGCATTGGAGGCGTGAAAACATGCCGCATCCATGATCTTCTCAGAGATCTCTGCATATTGGAGAGCAAAGAGGATAAGTTATTTCAAGTTTGAACCGACAACAACATTTTAATCCCTATAAAACCTCGTAGATTGTGTGTCCATTCTAGCATGTTTCACTATGTTTCTTCAAGCCCTAATGACCACTCATGTGTTTGTTCTTTGTTTTGTTATGACCTGAATCGTGGTGAGTGGAAATGGCTTAACAAAAGATTTAAATTGGTTCATGTGTTAGATATTAAAAAAGTAAATCATTCTAAGATTCCTTCAAACTTAGGGAACTTCATTCACTTGAGGTATCTAAGAATAGACTACGCAAATGCTAGAAGTGTTCCAGATTTTATATGCAACCTTCGGAATCTACAAACATTAGACATTGGATATTTAGCCAGGCACAGAAGAAATTCTTTTCCATGTGGAATATTAAAGCTCAAGCATTTAATGCATGTGAATACTAGGCCTACGATGTTGCGCGACCGTTGTTTAGAATTAAATGGTGATGTTATGAGGAGTCTTCAAACACTCTCTTACATTGTACTCAATAAAAAAACAACATATCACATAGAGAAAGGAAGTTTCCCAAAACTAAGAAAATTAGGATTGCTTATCTCCTCAGAGTTCAAGGGTGATGTGCCCAAAATACTGGCAAGCCTACAACAACTGAAACATTTGAATAAGCTAGAAATCATGTTGGTGCGTAACCGTAAAGATTTTTCAGAAGGGCTATGGAGTTTCAATTATAAGCCCGAGGAAGTTTTAGAAAGTTTGAAGAACTTGATCCATCTAAGTATACTGAAAATATGTTAGTGCGTGAGGCACTTTTAGTGAGGAGAGAAAGAGAGAATAATAAAGGAAATAAGGATTTGTATTTTTCAATTGTACAAATAATGATACACACTATGACTATTATACAATCCTAATTAGGCTTGGGCTAACACAACTTGGATTATATTAAATATTAAATCTAATCAAATCTAATCTAATCTAATTAACATTTCAACACACCCCTATAATCCAAGTTGTCGAACATCCTCAAAAATAGTCAATCTGAACTATTCTTAATTTCTTTCTCAAATTCAGGAATCTGTCGATCTTCAATCCTTTGGTGAAAATGTCGGCCAACTGTGTTTCACTTGATCAATGCCTAACTTCAAGTTCACCTTGATTTACTTTTTCCCTCAAGAAGTGAAACATTGCTTCAATATGTTTACTTCTTCCATGCAAAACTAGATTCTTCGCCAGATTTATGGCTGACTTGTTGTCGATTTGCAATACTAGAGGTTTCTTCACTTCGACAGTCATTTCTTCAAGTACATATCTGATACAAATTGCTTGACATGCAGCATAAGATCCTGTTATATATTCAGCTTCACACGATGATAATGCCACCACAGGTTGCTTCTTCGAACACCATGAGATTGGGGCACCAAATACTTGAAAGAAATATCCAGTTGTGCTTCTTCGATCTTCCTTATCTCCACACCAATCAACATCTGAAAAACAATTAACTATTGCTTCTTTGCCTTCAGAATCTCATCGAAATAGTATTCTACAATTTATTGAACCCTTCAAATATCGAAGGATTCTTCTTGCAGCTTTCATATGTGACACTCTTGGTTCACCCATATATCTGCTTACTAATCCGACTGCGAAACCTATATCAGGTCGACTGTTGCACACATACCTCAGAGATCCCACAATTTTCTTAAACAAAGTTGCATCGACTTTGTCTTCCTCTCCATTCTTTTCCAACTTCACATTTGGTTCGATAAGTGAGGATACAAGATTCAAATCATCCATTCTGAATCTCTTGAGTATCTCTTTGACATACTTTCTTTGATGTAGCACCATACCTTGCTTCGACATTTGAAATTCCATGCCTAGAAAATAAGACAATTTTCATAGATCCGACATTTCAAATTCCTTCATCATCAGCTCTTTGAACTTTGACAAGTTCTCCAAACTATTTCCAGTTACTAGCAAGTCATCAACATACAGGCAGATGATTGTTATGTCTTGTTCTACAACTTAAACATAGACACCATACTGTGATTTGCATTTGACAAATCCTAATTCGACTAAGTATGAGTCGATCTTCTTGTTCCATGCCCTAGGTGCATGCTTGAGGCCATAGAGCGCTTTGTGCAATCTATATACTTTACTCGCTTCCTTCTGAATCACAAACCCATGAGGTCGTGTGACATAAACTTCTTCGTCTAAAGGACCATTCAAAAATGCTGATTTCACATCTAGATGGAATGTTGACCAGCCTTGGTTGCATGCCAATTCTAATACTAGTCGAACAACCTCTAATCTTGCTACTGGAGCAAATACTTCAGAGTAGTCAAGTCCTGCTCTTTGAAGAAAACCTCGATCTACTAATCTTTCTTTATGTCTTGCTATTGACCCATTTGCATTGTGTTTCAACTTGAACACCCACTTTACTTCGATAGATTTTGTATGTGTTGGCAATTCGACTAACTCCCATGTGTTGTTTCTTTCGATTGACTGTAACTCTTCGACCATAGCTAACTTCCACTCGTTAATCTTCAAAGCTTCGCTATATTTGATTGGTTCAGCACCTACAAGTAAAGCAAAATGAACTAGTTCTCCATCTAGTGTGGTTTCATCATCACCCACCACTTCATAATCATGAAGTCTTGTTGGAAGAACTCTATTTCTTTGAGGTCTTTGGCTTGTTTAATCCACAACCTCTTCGACTTCGACTGTGATGGAAGTGTCAGTAACCGCTTTTTCTTCGACTTCGACTGGATTCTCAACAATTCCTTCGACCTCTACTTCATTAGTTTCTTCGTCGAAATCAAAGTTCATTAATGATTTGTTAATTGAATTGCTAGAATTCCAATCCCAGGCAGAATTTCATTAATCACAATATCTCGACTCAACACAATCTTCTCATTAACTGGATTGAATAGTCTATATGCACCAGTTTTATGATATCCTATTAGAATCATAGGTTCACTCTTGTCATCAAGCTTCCTTCTCCTTGCATCAGGAACATGCTTGTAACACATAGAGCCAAAAACCTTCAAGTGACTTACTGATGGTCATTTGCCACTCTACACTTCTCCAGGAACCTTGTTCTTCAATATCTTAGTAGGACACCTATTCAAAATATAAACTGCAGCCGAAACAGCTTCTCCCCATAAAGATTTTGGCAAATTCTTTTGCTTCAGCATGCATCTCGCCATATTTAATATGGTTCTATTTCTTCTTTCAGCAATTCCATTATGTTGAGGTGTGTAAGGAGCAGTTACCTCATGATCAACACCATGTTCTGCACAGAAATATTCAAACATCTTGGATGTGTATTCACCAGCTCTATCTATTCGCATAACTTTGATCTTCTTCTCACTCTGGTTTTCGACAAGTATCTTGAATCTCTTAAAGATTTTGAATACTTTGTCCTTTCGTTTGATCACATAGATCCACAGCTTTCAACTAAACTCATCGAAAAATGAAACAAAATATCAGTTTCCACCAATTGTATGTTCTTCGAATGGACCACATACATCTGAATGCACCACTTCGAGAATGCAAGATGATCTCATTGATAGTCGAAATGAAAGAATTTTTGGATTGCTTTCCCACTAAACAACCTTCACAAAGTTTTTCAGGCATCTCAAGGCTTGGAATACCAGTAACCATATCTTGAGTAATCAGTTGATTAAGTGATCGAAAATTCAAATGTCCAAACCTCAAGTGCCACAACCAACTATCCTTGTGGTCGACAACAATTTTCAAGCATTGAACTTTTGTCGAACTGATCATAGTCTTAAATGTCCTATTCTTCGACAATGGAGATTTTAAGACCAAATTGTTCTTTGTGTCGAACAATTTCAAAACTCCATCTTTCATGACAACTGAGAAATCTTTTTCGACTAGTTGTCCAACACTTAGCAAGTTGCATTTCATTCTAGGTACATAGAGCACATCTTTGATCATAGCTTTCTCTCCATTACTCATTTGAAAGGCTATGTTTCAAGTACCTCCTGCTTGCAACTATTATCAGCAAGTTTTACCTTGCTCTTCTTTGACTCGTCAAAATCTGCGAACCACTCCTTTCGACCAGTCATGTGGTTCGAGCAACCTGAGTCAAGAAACCATATATTGGATTCAACATGGTTATCTACAACTGCAGCCATAACCATCATACCACCTTCAGAATTATCTGAATCTTGGCGTGCAAGGTTCGCTCCTTCGTCCTTGACTTTTGATCCCTTGTATTTTTTGTACCAACAATTCTTGGCCAAGTGTCCCCATTTTTCACAGTTATAACACTGCATACCTTTCTTATCTTCTTTGTCCTTTTGATAGTTTCCTCCTCCCCTTTTCGAGGATTCAGAAGATCTATCTTCGATCTTATTCTTATGGGAATTCGACCAAGACTTCTTGCCATGAGTCTTGTCGAACTTGCCTTTGAATTTTTTGGAACCACCGTCTTTTTTTCATGATTGAGCTTGCAGTGCCTGTATCGAGTCCCGAACTCCTTTCCTTTCGACAATCCTCATCTCATGCACCTCCAACGAACCAACCAAATCTTCCACTTTAGTGGTTTCAAGATTGTTAGATTCTTGAATAGCTACGATAACATGATCAAAGTGAGAGGTCAACGTTCTCATTACCTTCTCAACTATCATCTTATCAGTAATAGTTTCACCACAATCCTTCATGAGATGGACGAGTTTCTGAACCTTCGACACATATTTTGCAACTTTTTCATCTTCTCCCATCGACAACAACTCATATTGTTGATGTAAGGTTTGTAATTTGACAACCTTGACTTTCTCACCTCCTTCAAAATACTTTACCAGAATATCCCATGCCTCCTTCGTCGTTTCAGCATGAGAGATTCTATCGAAGTTAGCAACATCGACAACTGTTTGATGCAATAAGCAGCCTTGCAATCTTTCTTCTTGACTTTATTGTGGGCTTTTTCTGTTTGTTGGTTGCATTTGCAGTCAACGCATGAACGCCTTCGGTAACCACTTCTAGGATTTCATGGAAGTCAAACAAGGATTGCATCTGTTTTT